GTCAGCTTTGCCTAAATACCCTTCAGTTCAGCCTGTCACAGTGGCATACATCTGCAATCCCAGCTCTCCCAAGTCCAGGGCAGGAGGAGCTGCAGCTTCCAGCCTACTTTGGCTGCCAGGAGATTTGCTAACTGAGAAAGGAACCTTTAATTCTTTCATTCCTCCAGAGTCCACCTCCGCCTCTCCTGCTGATCCAGGGCTCTGCTGCATCCCTGCTTGTCCCCACCTACACTTGTGTTCTCTGTCACCCTCACTCTGGGGTGACTTCATGCTCTTGGCAGAACCTGCTTACATCTTCTGGTACCTCTCTGAGCAAGGATGTCTTAAGGTGGGAGCTTGTGGAAACTTTGCAGATTTGAAAATATTTCTTATACAGAAGTTTGAATTTTCTTTCCAAATTGGGAAGTCTCCCTGGGTAGGGCCCTGGTCTCTAGGAAGGCCCTTCCAGCTTCAGGTGCTTAGAAGCTCTTTGCCCTGTCTCCACCAATCTGAAATCCTAATTCTGTTCCATGGGTGGCTTCCTGCTGGATGCTAGAGAAGTGCTTTCCCTCACATAATGGAGACTGGGGATGGGGCCCAAGGCATGACACTATCTCCTGTATCTCTCTATCTTTTCTGTGGGGTTGGTCCAGAACACTTGTCATTGGGCCCGTGGGACCATTTCCTTGAATGCCAAAATTTGGTATCTTTCTTTCTCCCTTCTCTGGTTTTGCTTTCTTTTCTGGGACCTTTGGTTGAGTTCCTGTGGTCAGAACTTTTGAGTCTGTAATTATGCTCTCTTGTTTGTAATCTGGCTACAGCTTAACTCGTGTAAAATGCATCCTCTTGATGCGTGCAATTAGTCAATGATCCGCACATGTAGCAGTTGAGTGATTACCCGCAGGCTGCTGAGACATTTTCTTCCTCCACCTTCCCTCTAAGAAGCCTCTGCCAGCCAGTACTCCTTCCTGCCCTCCTCCCTGTGTCTACAGCCAAGTCCTCACCTATGGGTTTGCTTATTACAGACAGGTCCATGATTGGGATTAGGGTGTAGTGTCTGCTGTGGGTGTTGCAGCCAACACAAAGTTCTAAGGGCTCATGTGGTGGTTGTGTTGCTGATGTTTTGCATTGTCAGTATTAGGTTGCTCAACCATCCATCCTTTAATGGATCTTAAGCTTATGTTTCTGTTTGTAGCATGAGCAGTGCTACTGGAGATGTTACTATGGACTTGCCGTGGCATATGTTTTCTGTTCTGAGTGTGGGCCCTGGACTCTGGTGCTTAGTCGTATGGCATCAGCTGTGAATGGGGGTTGGTTTCCTGTGTCCTCACCAGCATGGGCTATTCGTCTCCATCTCAGGTGTCCTAGTGCCTGATTTTCTAAGTTTTCTCAGAGTCCCTTTAACTGTCACATGGCTTCTCCAGTGTGCCATCATTTATGTCATTATGTTGATGTTTTTTGGCTGGCTTTTGTTGTTTACATCAAGTCTGGACTCCCTTTTTCCATGTGCTGTAACTTAGGTTTGGAAATCTTTTGGGTATGCTGGCTGCAAACTGAGTGTGCAGGGCCTTTTGGATTGCTATGTGGTGGTACAGCTCAGTTATTTATGATGGAGGAATAGCTGGTGCCGGCACTTGGATCCTACCTCTGTCCTCCCTGGAAGACAGAGGACTGGGGTGACATAGGGCCATTTTCCGATTAGTGTGCTCAGGTTTCCTCACCCCATGTTTTGGATCAACATGGGTCAGTACTAGAGCACATGTGTATGTCCAGTAGACTCTTTGGGAAGATGGCAGAGGAGCACTTTCCCTCATGGAGTGGGAAGCTGGAGCTGGCCTCCAAGGCTTGACAGAAAGCTTGCAGCTGGTTCTTGCTTGAGCTGCATTCTCCTTTACCTAAGAAGAAACTCAGCATGGTGCAGCCTGCTGAGACTGCACAGTGTGCCTGGACCAACTGCTTCCTTGTCCCACTCTGACTCCAAGTTGACACAGCTTGCATCCTGCCTCCTTTTGTCTCTCAGCCTCATTGATCTGTGCTCTGTGTAGAGACAGTGGTTCTGGCATGGTTTTAGGTGCTTTCAACCAAGCAATGCAAACACTGACTGTTCCTCTTTCCTGACCAGTGAATTTGAGTTAGAGCTCACTGATTTTTTTTTTTTTCTGATCTATTTTAAACTGATCGAATCTGCAGAGAGCTTTCTAGGCAAAGTCATTCTGAGGTAGGGTAGTAGTGGACAGGTTAGCCTAGAACTTCAGCATACCATTGAGGAGATGACAATTCTTCACTCACTGACACTGAGCCGACTGCTCTTTACGGCTCAGATGGGTCTAGTGGAAAAGAATGGTGGGGTTTGGAGTCATTTTTAACATTATTAGGACTACTGGACATAGTGCAGAGAACAGTACCACTTAAAGAGTGTAGTGATGGGGAAGCTGAAGTGGGATGGGGCGTTTGAACCCAACATGGTGTATTTAACTAGAGTTGTCATTGCCTGAAGTTGTCTTCATCTCTGGAATTGAGGCTGCCTCAGCAGTCGAAGTATATTGTTGAAATCCACTACCAACAACAGGCAGAACCTGCATATGTAAATGGATGCTAAGTATATCTTATGAGGGGCACTTTTAATATGGACAGAAGTCTCAGGGCACAGGTGCCTGTGTCCATGCCTGTTCTAAACATCACTGCAGGACAAGAACAAAGGAGATAAGCACAGCAGCAGAAGGGTGGCAGTGTCCTGGGACCCCTGGGTGGTAAAGTTGGGCACACAGAATGTCCAAGAGAACCTATAGATCCATTGCTGACACTCTGGAATTTACTTTGTGCATTCTATTTTGCAAACTTTTACATCTGTTTGTAAGTGACATTGTAAAGTGAACAAGTTTGTTGCATTCAACAGATACAAATTAGTTATATTCCTCCACACATGTAAGACCCACTTGAGAAATGTAAGAGGAACAATGAAGATGGTATTCACGCAGGTTATAGAAGCTGATGTGGTTTTAGAAAAGCACTGAAGAAGGGCTCTTATATAGCAGTAACCAGCTGTAGAGTTAGAGATGGAAACATGCCCCTTATATCCCTGCAGTACTTGTGTTTGAGTCTGGGAGAGGCAAATCTTTGCCATCTGAAATTGCACTCTCTAGAAGGTGGTGCATAGTCCTCATCGGAGCTCATGTTTTCCTGCCATTGCACTCCCCTTCTTGGAATTGGGGAGCCAGGTTTGCTTATGCTAGAGATTCTATGGCTTCTCGTGTGTTCTGACTGCATCAAGGTTATTGTATTGGTGTTAAGTGCAGGGTGTTCAGTGCCTATAGAAATGTGAGATGTCTGTGCTGTGGGTGCATCAAGCTCTGTGTGCTTTCCTGTGCTTTGACGGTGTTCAGGGGTCATCCTGATAGTGGTTAGCCACTACACACAACTGTAGTCCATGTAGAAAGTATGTGGTATATATGAAAGGTTTAATGTTGGCAGCTGAATTTGCTGGAGTTGCTGAAGAGTTCATCTGCCACCTTTTGATGTAAGTTTTGAGAGTCTGCATGTGTAAGAATACATCCTAGAAGAGGTACAGACATAAATAGGAAAAAAGAGTATGTAAGTGCTAGATAGCATAAGATAATTCTCATTTTCATATGAGAAAGACCCTCCTAAATTTGTTTCTGGGAGCAAAGCCTCAGCATATACTCAGACACACTTGGCTGTGTCTGTGTGTGTTTAGGCACCCCTGGCTGCTGTATGCGTGCCCTTGAAGGTTATTTAGCAAGCATGCATATGTGCACATGTGGCGAGAGGTTACTGCTTATCAAATGCAGTGCCTTACAATGCATGGGCAGCACCAAGCAAGTGTCAGGCTGTTAAACAAAAAGAAAGACTGCCCACAAGTGACTGAGAGGACCTCTCATGGTGAATGAGGGGTGGTGAGGGGCTGGGGAGATGACTGAGCTAGGCATGGCTACCCAAGCCTGGCAATCTGGATCCCATCCATTGAGCCAACTCCACAAATCTGTCCTCTGGCCTCCACACATGTGCAAAGACACTGTCCATGCATGCGTGCACAGGCACAATAAGTTAATAAATAAATGCTAATGGACATGTTTGCAAGGCCATCCAAGATCACAGTTGTGGAGAAGCAAGGAGGTTCACTGCTTTCATTAGGAAAGACTGAGCAGAACCAAGTGCCCTTCAGAAGAGAACCAGGACATTGAGCCCCCTGGGAAAGGTGACGAAAAGCTAAGTTGTGTGGAGATTGCAGAGGACCTGCATTTTTCACTGCATCGGTTCTAGCCTGGGTTTGTGCCTGTTTTAGCTGGTATGTACTTGTAGCTACAAAAATGGTACAGGCACTCGAATGGAGACAGTATTGTCCTCTCCAGAGCCTCTGGATTGATGTGAGGCTGACTGTTGAGACAGGAGAGCTGGGTGTAGTTCCTGGTGTGAACCTGTCTGTACTAGAGGCGGGAAATCTATGGTGTGTTTAAGACCGTGCTGTTACTCTTGGAGTTTTTACTGATTGGAAAATTGACATTTAAAGAAGCCACCTAAACAAAAGAAAGAAAAAAAAATGTTGGGAATGTCTGGGCAGTGTAACTAATAACTCCATGATCTTTAGTTTCCTAATAGGATTTGGAACCAGACTGGGATTGGTCCCTACAGTGTAACACAGATCCTCACAAAGTGACATTTTAACTTCATCTTGACCCCACTATAATATTTGATGTCATGTTATCTCTGTTTTTGTTATTTTTCTATATTTTTCTGGCAGTTTCTATGTTTCTGCTTAGTAGTAGGCAGTCAGTAACTTGTTACTTCCCTCTGGCTTTGGTGTAAAGGGACATTGTAGTTCTCAAAGAGGGCAAGGGCGGGGGTTGTGGAGGAGTCCTGTGTTACAGGAGGAGAATTGCCTGTTTCTGTTTGTGTGGTGCTGTGAACCACCTGCTTATATGTATGTACTTGTTGGAGGACAGTTACACAGAATGAAATGCCGTAGCAGCATAAATAGCTGACTGTGACTTTTTTTCTTTCAGAATCTAAATGAATATGTTGAAGCATTAATTGCCTTGAAACAAAAAATTATTAATACAGAGTAAGTACATCTGCATGTTGAAAGCTGCCGGTTTGTCCAGCTGGCTCAAGTGGGTAGTGATTTGGAACCCCACAGTGGACGCAGTGGTGCTGGAGAGAACCACTGAACCCCTTGTTTAATGACTCACAGGCTTTTAGAAGACAGTTATCTTTGCCAAATTAGATTTTAAAAGCTGTTTCTCTCTAAAACTGGTGTGTATGCTGGGGGGTCACATTGCCGTATGCTACATAATGAGATTTAATTATTTTTATTATTGCTTGATAGTCTCATGTTTCATATTAAAAGTTCATAACACTTGTGTAGTGCATTGAGGGATCAAGGTGCTGTCAGCCTAGCATGCCATCTAGAAGGATGTGAGCCATAACTTTCTGTGGTGTACTTGCCCAGTGAGTGACACAGGCACCTAATCTCTCTTTTCTCTTTTGCAGTAACCTGCTGACGGAATATCAGAAGAAATGCGATGATATCCTTCCCTTGTTTGTCCCTTTGGACATTAGCACTGACTTACATGTAATGCTTAAGATAGGAGGGCCCTCCTTTTTAATCCTTCAAAAGGCAGTGTCTGTTGGCTTAGGGGGAGCCCCTCTCGAAAGCACAGCCAACAGCAGGTGTCTTAGTGCAGTAGCAATGGCTGGGTACTGGGAGATCCCAGAAGGAGGCCTCCTAGCATCTCTCTTGTTTCTGTTGCTGGTTTGGAATGTCTTCAGTCTTCAACCTTTCAGTGAGTGGATTTTCCTCCTGCATAGGGGTGTGACATCAAGTGTGCGGATGCATCATTGTAGCTGCATCAGTGCTTGCTGATGAGTGTCTTTAAATCTACTAAAAAAAAGTAAGATTTAGGAAATTGATCTTGCTCTTATCATAGAGCATTAGTGTGTACATCCATAAATCATATGAGTAATGCATTCTCATATTTGTAAGACAGTGCTCAGTTTAGATTCACCATTGGCTCAGCAGGGGTTGTGCAAGCACCTCAGTGTAGTTAACATGGTCAGATGTTTGTATCAGCAAGAAGAAACTAGTCCTGCCACTTCTTTTAGTGACACCTGCCTTGTGTTAAATCTCATCTCTCTTGAAAGAACAGAATATTTTCTTCCCCCCCAAATCAGCTTGCATAGACTGGTGGAGGTTAACAGAGAGCTGAGTTCCCGTTCAGTACTGGGCAGATCCTGGGTCCATGGTCTGCAGTACTGTGAGCCATTTAGCTGATGGTGGCCCCGGAGCCTGTGGGATCACACCTCCTTTGAGCTTGTGTTGTAAAATCCATGTGGAAGTGACTTCAGTGCCTGAATGTCACATTGAACTAAAGGTCACTGGACATTCCTGCAGGTGATTTGTCTGCTGAGATGTAAAGAACAGCAGGATTGGAGGAACAGTGTCTTCAGTTGAATACAGTTGCTGTCCAGAAACAAGTTATCCCGACTGCTGATAGAGAAAAAGTAACAGACAGGAGGCTAAGCATTGGAGCATTGTCCTTACAGCACTTTAGAGAAGCGGTGTAAACCTTTTGATAATTACAGTAATCTCATGATAGAGTAGGTGGTCTAATTTTCTAAAGTAAGTGCAGCACCTATGCTGGCCGTCTGGTGTAGGTAGGTGCTGCTGGGATCTGAACTAGAAACTCTGGAAGAGCAGTGTGCCTATTAGTAACCACCGAGCCATGTCTCTGACCCCAGAACAGTTCCTTTACATAGATAAAACTTGCAGTTATTTTTTTGAGATGCAGAGATTTGGCTTCAGCTACAGAAACTAATTTTAAATACACCCCTGTCATTATCTGCAAATATCTACTTTTTACCTCTCAGAAATGTAGCTGTCTAACCGCTGGGGTGCCAGTGTCTGGGCCTAACATAGCTTCTTCCTGATTGAGTCACTCGCAGCACCTCTCCTGAAAGACTGCAGCATGTCCTCATGAGGTTACTGCAGCCACCGTAAGACTGAAGAGAATGAATGTGCACTTCTTGACCTGGAGAAGAAGTGCAGTTCCCTGTGGCTTGGTGGTACCCTATCTTCTCTGCTGGACTGTTTGAAAAATGGAGGAGGGTTTGGGGGTTCTGTTGTAAATAAAAATATTTTCCCTCAGTTATATCATCAGTCTTGATTCTTGTAGTTCTAATCAATTGACCAGTAGAGAAATAGATGTTTTGACTGGGTTCTGTCTTAGTCAGTGTGCTGTTGCAGTGAAGAAACACCATAACCCAGGCAACTCTTACAAAGGAAAACATTTAATTGGGTGTTGCTTTCAGTTTCCAAGGTTTAGTCTATTGTCATCATAGAGGGAAGCTCAGTGGCATGCAGGCAGGTGCTGGAGCATTAGCTGAGAGCTATATCCTAATCTGTTGGTAGATAGTGGTCAGGGGAAGGGATGCTGGGCCTAGTGTGAGCTTCTTTAACCACCAAGCCCACCTCCAGTGACACACAAAGCCATACCTATTCCAGTGAGGCCACACCCACTAATCCTTCTAATCCTCAGATAGTGCCACTCCCTGGAGCATCCATATCTATGAGCCTGTGGAGGCCATTCTCATTTAAACCACTAGAGTCATACATTGGTAGGTAGGGATAAAGTAGACTCAACACTGTTAGGGTTGGGTGTGTGCAAATTATGCAGCATTGTGGTACAGCCTAGGTGCACATGATTACGACAGAATTTATCTTCAGACAAATATCAGAAGATAAAGGTTCAAGTTTTCTTTAACAAGTTTTACAGCTGCAATTTGCAAGAAGGTGAGCTGCCTGACTTCGTATCTGTTGATAACACCTGAATTTTTGGGTAGAGGTGGATATATAGCAGGCCAGAGCCTAGGAGACCTGCCTCAGATTGAAATGCTTCAGATGCTCCCCTTGCAAGCAGATTTGCATTGTCCTCTCAGATCCCTGAAATGCATTAAATACATTGGTTTCAAATTAAAACCTCTGGTTTGCTCCAGGAACTGTTGACCACACTGTGAGCTGAAGTTCTATGACTTTTGCCCACACAGTTACATTGTTCAATGCCATTTATCTTGTGTTGTTTATAATAAAATAAAGACACGCCAGGCGTTGGTGGCACACGCCTTTAATCCCAGCATGTGGGAGGCAGAGGCAGGTAGATCTCTGTGAGTTGGAGGCCAGCCTGGTCTCCAGAGCGAGTGCCAGGATAGGCTCCAAAGCTACACAGAGAAACCCTGTCTCAAAAAATCAAATAAATAAACAAAATAAGACACTAAAATTTAGTGATGTTTTATGCTCCAACTATAATTATAACTTAGAGGTCAGCATAAGGGTATAAATCAGATTGTATTTGGATTACAGTTATCACTTAGACGTCAACATGAGGTTATAAATCAGGTATCGGTAGCATCACTGTATCACTTAATTGGAACAAATGGAGGAAGATGAGGATCTGAAGATTGGACATGCCAGATGTTTGGCAGACTGTCCTCAGACCGATTCTCCTGTGTATTAACTAGCCCGTGTTGGGCTAGTTTCTGATGTTGCTTTTTGATAGTTTCATTAAAAAGTTTGTTATGCCTAAAAGATAAAAAGCAGTCTGATTGTCAGCATGAGCAGGAAGAATCATTTAGAGTTAGAATTCAGTAATGCACTCCAGCTGTCTGTGCTCAGTGATATTGATGCCTTGTCCTTGTCCGTTTTCAGAGAGAACAGCATGCTGCATCACCAAGTGGAGCAGATGCTTCAGAAAATCTCCCCTCTGCAGAAATGCCAGGAGGAGCTGGGATCCTTGAAAGCAGAGCTGGAGGAGAAAAAGGTGCCCAGAGCCACTCTCCTATAGAGGGTCACTGTCAGTGTGAGCATTCACTCCTGCCCTTGCTAGAGCCACTCCTATAGAGGGTCACTGTCAGTATGAGCATTCACTCCTGACCTTGCTAGAGCCACTCCTCTAGAGGGTCACTGTCAGTGTGAGGATTGACTCCTGCACTTGCTAGAGCCACTCCTATAGAGGGTCACTTTCAGTGTGAGCATTCATTCCTGCACTTTCTAGAGCCATTCTCCTATAGAGGGTCACTGTCAGTGTGAGCATTCATTCCTGCTCTTGCTAGAGCCACTTTTCTATAGAGGGTCACTGTCGGTGTGAGGATTCACTCCTCTACTTGCTAACTGGAATTCAGGACTGTTTACACATTAGCGGAGGATATAAGTGCTAGAGGAATGTGTCTTGTAGGGTACCCTGCTCTGGTTGATTCCTGTCTTTACAATGATTCATGGGATTCTGCACAAGGGTCAAAAGGGTTATATGTAAACTCTTGTGGTTATACGTTCCCTGTAGTAATTATCTTGCTTTTCAGTTTTTTGTTTTGCTTTGTTTTGTTTTTCTTAAGTGGGAAATAGCATGTAGACATTCAGAATTAGTGGTGGGAGAATCATTGTGTGACATTGTGGAAAATACTGGGTTTCCTTGGTGGTACAGGTCTAGCCTCAGCCCAGCACTCAGGGCCTCTGCTCTGGTAGAGTTCCACTGTCCTTCAAGCACCTCTCTGGAATCTTGAGCCAGGTGGGTTAGGTGACTGTGCTTGGTCTTCTCTGGTTTCTCAGGACCCTGAGGTCCACAGAGAGCCACTCTCTTTGACATATTTCAGGTTCTCACAGGTGAGTGTGTGGTCATTTCTTTTACTTGAGCAAGGGAGACAGGGCCTTGGGAGAAGATATTTCAGATAGGAAACTTGATAGCTTAACCTCTTGTGGGCTCTGCTATACAGTCAAGCCCTTTGAAGCAGTCTACTCAAGCTGCCGTAAAGCCTTTCCTGCTGAACTTATATCCTTCAGAGGAACCTGGGGAGCGTGTCCCTGGAGTTCAGAGCAGAAGCATCCGAAGCCTCCAGCTAGGTGGCTGACCTGAGGAGGTGGAGCTGTCTGGGTTATTATCCAGCCTGTGTCCTTTCTGGTTCTTTCCAGAGAAGATTGCTACTGTCCATGATCCAGCTGCCTCACGTTGTGGTTTTAGTGATAAGCCATCATCTGGTTTTTCATGAACTGTATGATTGTCCATGCCAGCACTCCTGTTTCTCTAGGAATTCTTTATGGCTTAACTGTAGTGAAAGTTAAACAGCTAATCACAGTGTCCATTCCTGTATGTATAGTTTTCGTTATGTAATGTCTATAGCATACCCTGAAGGAAGTGTGAGCCGTGGAGTCAGACATCAAATCCATAGTGAAGAGGGCTTGATGAAGCTCCTCCCTCAGAGCTCATAAAGTCAGAGAAATGTCATGTGCAGACCACATCATGGACGGTGCCTTTCCAGCCCGCAGGGTCATGATAGCAGATGAGTCAACATCCATACATTTTCCCAGTTAATACAGATTAGCAACTCATTTCCCTTTTTCTGGCAGTAATAACGTAACATTCACTGAGCCCAATATCAGTTTAGATTCTGTTACTGTAATTGCTCAGGTGAACATATTAGCTGTTTGGTGTGTATTCAAGCCAGTGGTGTGGTGTGCAGATTGGAATCATGTGGATTTGCCTGGCTGTACTGTCAGCTCTGTCTTTTGGGAACCTAGTCTCCTCGCAGAGATGCTGAGTGACTTGTGGTCCTTGCCGATGATTCTGGCTGTGTAGTTGGTTAGTGTTGTGCTACCAGATGAGAATTTAGCCTATGGTAAAATGAATGAGGACCATGGCCAATGGCTTTTGGGGTGACACTTATGTTTCCCGTTTCCTTGTTAGAGCTGTCTGAAGCTGTATCAGAACACTCAACAGGAATACGCCCGTGTGAAAGAGGAATGCTTGCGAAGTGATGCTCAGTAAGTGGATTACTGTTGATGAGGGACTTTCATCTTTGATAATGAAATATTTGTAAATAATGGTGTCTTCTCTCTTCCTGTTTCTGTTCATTGGTTGTAATGAATTAGCTGTGCAAATTTGGGCTAATCTCTCAGCCACAGTTTTCACCAGTGTTACATGGGGGTCAGCACTGTCGTGACTAAGGGGTCATCTGGTGCTGAAGGGCCGCACACAAGAGGTATTGGTCATGCTCGCTTTGTCACGTGTGAGCTGCACCTGTGTCTGTGTGTCCACGTTCAGTCGTGGGCCTCCTATCTTTGTTTCAGTCCTTTACAGGTATCAACTGTTGTAGTGTCTCACTGTAGAAGGGCCTTCATTACCAGGAATGAAATGGGCTAAGCATCTTGCTAGTTATGTTGGAAGTTTGGTACCTCAGCCACACCATGCAGAGAACACTAGTGGGGCTGTATGAGCCACTGCTTGTTGGGGCTGTGACATGTCAGTGTTTCAGAGACTTTCCTGAGCTTCCTGCCTTCTTGACTCTCAGGAATCCATTTTAGAGCAAGTGAAGTCCTTGCCCGCTGCTTCCCTTGCTCACTGTGTGCACTCCTGAAAAGTCCCTGGTGGGTTAGGTGCGGGTGGATCGGGAGGTCTCTTGACACAGCCCAGAGATGCCACTGTTGAACTAAAGGAGAGGCCTTGTATGTGTCTGTGGCAAAGACGCAACAGGCCCTTTTTGTGTTTCTCAAACCAAAGTTAGGCTTTTAAAAACCCATTTTAGGACTACTGTGCAGCACACGATGGAGTGTTCTTTCTCAGGCTTCTTCTACCATAAGCTCAATTGCTGGTGATTTAGTTAGGAGTGAAAATCTCTTATGTATACCATGTGTGGTGACCTGTGATCCCCTTTGCCATCTAACTGACAAGGTTTTATCATTAGGAAGAAGAAGCTGGAAGCTAAGGTGAAGAAGCTAGAAGGTAAGTGCACCTGTTGTTTGCTGGCCAGCAGACCCTGGTAAGTGTGAGGCTGAATGTCAGTGGGTTGTGCTGGGAAGGGGGACGTCTCCTCCCCTCAGTAGGCAGCTCCAAGTGTGGAGATGAGTGTGTGCTGCTCTGCTCAAACTAATGCTTTCTCTGTGACCCTTTGCTGTAAACAGGAAGTGCAGTGATTCAGTTTTGAAAGCTGACTCTTGTAGCTGTCTCTGCCTCTTTTATTATCAATTGAAATTGGTGGTTACTAGAAAAGGCAGCCACTTTGTGTGTTGTCTTGGTCAGGGTTTCCATTGATATGATAAACAGCATGACCAAAAGTACTTTGAAGAGGAGAGAGTTTATTTGGCTTATATATCAAATCCATTGAGAGAAGCCATTGAGAGAAGCTGATGCAGAGGCCATGGAGGGGTGCTGCTTACTGGCTTGCTCTTTGTGGCTTGCCCAGCCTGCTTTCTTATAAAAACCAGAACCACCAACCCAGAGGTGTCACCACCCACAATCACTAATTAAGAAAATTCCTTATAGGTTTGCCTACAGCCTGAACTATGGAGGCATTTTCTCAGCTGAAGTTCCTCCTTTCAAATGACTCTAACCTGTGCCAAGTTGATGTCAAGTAATTGATGTACATAGATAGTTCAGGTTTCTGTGAAATGCCCCGTCCTGGTCCTCCCTCCCCCACGCCCCACTTGAGTTTGGTGCTTTTGTTTACGAGTAGGCAGTGCACAGAAGGGTGCACTGTGATCTGTTACGTCCTTACATCTTAGTCAGTAGCACTTTTAGAAGTCAGATAGGAATGGGATGTCCATTTTGATTGCTGTTACTTATGGGTGGAATCAGCTAGAGGCAATGGCTGTGGTGTCACTGTCTGCCCACAGTGATGCTCAGGTGTCTGCCCACGTGGACTTCAGTGGTGGTGCTCTTTCAGAATGAGGTGTTTCCACATACACTGTGAACTTAGGAGCTCAAATTTAGTAGCTTGGAGGCATTTAGAACAAGAAATGTGAAGTATTGCTGTCCTCAGTTTAGATATCAACTCTGCAGATGGTTGGATGATACCCACCTCATGAACATTTGACAGGCACTAAGTACATGGCTGTGTTCTCAGTCTGTCCTTGCTTGTATGTGGAGATATGTGGAATGCCTAAGAGGCTGTATGCAGCTTTGAGAAGAGAACTGTAAAGTCAAATATGGCCTTTGAGTTTAATGTAACAAGTAATTTTCTCTGTAAATTGATAGAACATAATGAAGTGTTGAGCACAGTCTGACTCAGTGAGAAAAGAACTGTTGCTGTTGTCTAGTAGGGCTTTGCTTTCCATTGAGACTGTGTATGTCATGTCTTTGTGGTACCGGTTCTGGTTACGTTCTCACAGGTGTGTGCTTTGTGTAATGCTTTTGAATCAGAAAGGAATGAATGATTTGCTCACTGTCTAGAGGTCTGTACACTCTCCCAGCCAGAGTGTTTCACGGAAGGACTTGGAGTTGCTGTGCCAGGTGTGGGAAGGGTCTTCACAGCCTTAGTCAGTTCTGTAACTTCATGAGTAGGTAGTAACTGTTGGTGACATTTGTCCAGTTTTAGGAAAGGAAAAATGCTGGCACCGGATCGATCACACAGGATCAGGTCACTAACCCTCCCCTCTTTCTGTTGCTTTGCTGTGCCTATTACACATAGAGGCTGCTGTCAAGCAAACTCAGGACTTCAAGCAATTGAGAAATGAAAAGAAAATACTTGAAAAGGAATTTAAGAAGACACAGGTACTGGGTAAAATGATGCACACACTTTACATCCCTAACTCACGGCCTCTGTGGACACAGGTACTAAGTAAAAGATACACACACTTCACATCCCGACTTGGGGCTTTTGTGGACACAGGCACTGTGTAAAAGTTGAACACATTTTAGATCCCGACTTGGGGCTTCTGTGGCATCCTGGTTGTGGCTACAGTCACTGTCTGTTACCTTGCACCCATCTGATACTACTTCACAGGGTTTGCTTCTGTACACATAAGCATTCTTGGTGTTTCTCTCCCCCAACACAGGAAAGGTTTGATGAATTTTCCAAACAGAAAAATGAGAAGGGTGAGTATTCAGTTAATGCTTATAAGGAGAGGCAGTATTAGTGTGCAGTGTTTAGTTTAAACCCTTCTCTTTATGTTTTTAGAGTTGAGACACATTGGAACACAGATCTCAAGTGACTCTCATGGAAGCATAGATAAAAGTGAGTATCCTAACAGTGTGGTTTAATGCATTGCTTGTTGTGGTTAGCAGATATATGTACTATAAAAATATGGCTTTGTTGGAACAAATTTTGCTAATTTGGATGGATGTTAGTTAGATTTGCATATATCCACATTTACTTATCCTTGTGTATAAAGACAACTATTTTCTTAAAATATATGGATGGAAGAGTCAAAGAAGGCATTGTTTGGGAAAGGAAAGGTATTTACGTAAGCCCCACATTTCTCAGCAAGTAATGGTAGATTTCTGTCTAGATTACAGCCTATCAGATTAATTCATTAAGCATCCTGGGTGCCAGAGCAGTGTGAGGCAGGAGAACCATGGTGACAGTTCTGCAGTGTGTTTTCTGGGGAAGTTGAACACTGCTAGTCACAGAGTGTAGGCAGGACAGATGTGGCCTGTGTGCTTCTATCAGCAGGTATGGAAGGTGTGCCTGTAGGTGAGGGACTTGGACGTTATGGATTGTTTGGCCCTTGGCTGTTTCCTCCTCATTCTGGTCCATTTTAAAAATGGAGAGAAGACTTGAATTTCTCTTCAATCTTGGAAGTATTTTTTGTTTTGTTTTTTTTGTTTTTGGTTTTTGGTTTTTTTTATAAAATGCTGTAGCAGAAGAAGGTATTTTAGTCTTACAAAGACTAGACTTTTGTCATAGTAGAAACTGAGAAGTGACCTCAAGTACACAGCATTTCAGTAAGTTCCCCCCTTCTCCTTTTGTTTGTTTAATTCAGAAAACAAGTTCATGTTTTTCTTAGCCTTGGGTTTGGCTGTTGGGTACTGGTGTGGATGGTCAATGGAGTACTTACACTTAGACCTTCTTCTCCTACTTTGTGTGAAAACAGGAGCCTAAGCAGGCTTTGCTGAGGTCTTGACTGGCTCACCTTCCCAGTCCGTGGTCTACCATTGCGGTTAAATGTCTTCCCTTCTGTAGATCTGTGTGGGCCCTTTCTGCTGAAAGCAGGCCAATACCTCCTTGTCACTGTTCTCTCTCATTTAACACCTGTGACTGTCCCGAATAGTTTTATGTTGTGTTTTTATCTTCCTTGTTGGTGTACATCTTTCTTTTCCAAGTCAAGTCAGCCATGCACCTTAACTGATCCCTTACTGATTTTTCCTATTAATACTTACCTGTGGGAAGGAACTGACCAGTTTGCTTCTGAAGAGTGTTAGATTGAATTTCCTTCACAACAGGTTGAACAAGGCTGCTTTTTCTTCCTATGATGTTCCAGTAAAAAAAAAAGAGACTTGATTTAAATTGAAACTATGTAGCTATGTCCGTGAGGCCAGTTGATTCTGTCATGCAGCACTTAGAATGTCCAGGTGAGAGCATCTTGAATCTGAAACCACCATGGCTACATAGTGATACTGTGTCTTCAAAACCAGAAGTAGCTCTTCTGGACACTTTAGGTCAGTGGTCCTCAACCTAGAGACTGAGACCCTCTAGGGGTCAAACAACTTTTTCACAGGGATTGCCTGAAATCATCGGATAATTACATTATGAGTCAAAACAAGTGGCAAAATTAAAGTTGTTCATTAGCAATGAAAATATTTTTATGGTTGGGGGGTCACCACAACACGGGGAACTGTATTTAAGTGCCAAAGCATTAGGAAGGTGGAGAACCACTGCTTTAGATGTTTAGCATCAATAGAGAAAAGTGAGTGTAGAGGATGGAAAGAAAGCTGATGGTCACAATACAGACAAGGGCAGAGTTTCAAAGGTCACATTTCCAAATCATACAGGCAGAGCATTAATGTTCTGCAAATAACTGGTTAAAGGGGACGATGCACCAACCTTCCAGTTTTAGAAACTGCTGCTTGAGTTTTGTTTAGAAACTGTTCCCAGGTTCAGTTTATTAAGGTGTGACCTGTGAATGGGAATTGTTGGAGATGAAATAATTGGGTAGTTAATGGCTGCTTTGAGGACTGTCCACTTGGGCCCCGCCCCACCCCCCATAAGATGCTTATATCAGCTATGGAAACTCATAAACACTCACCAGCCCTGCCATGGGTTTATGAAAAGAGGACCTACAGTGATTGACAGATAGTAGGCTCAGTGTAGGGAAGGAGAGTTAGTTTGTCTGCCATTAATGTTTGAAGAATCAATATAAACTCATGCGTAAGAGAACTTTTCAGACATGTTAAGTACTCTTGAGCACGTTCAGGAACATGCACACAGCTGCTGGCTTCACTGGGCCGAGGGGGTTAGCCGGCAGGAGGTAGAGACCTCAAGAACTAAAATATCAGCCTCCTAGATGCATTATCAGCTGGACTAATGGGTTCATTTCCTGACCCAGGAGATGAAGTGTGAAGTCTCTGAGGATGTAGTCAAAGGGATATCATCAAAGAGGGCAGAGAATCAACTGTCCAGGAAAATGAGGTCAGAAGTCTCAGCATTCATCTGTTAGAATGTTTGAAAGGGGTGAACATAGCCGGGAGGGAGGGAGCCACAAGGAAGAAAAGGCAAGCCCCTGAGCAGAAAGCACAGGTAGGGTCTCTCTCTGTGTGTGTGTGTGTGTGTGTGTGTGTGTGTGTGTGTGGACACCACACAGGTAACACACTAATAGGACACTTGACTCAGATAAAATGAAGCAGAGAGCTGACTATGTGGGGCCGACTAAGATAGGCTCATTAGTGTCTGTGTGAAAGCAGTAAGGACAGTAATATGTCCAGGCTTCCGAACAATTCTGTGTGGATTGAAGGGTTCAGCAGATGTGGGGCAGATTGAAGGTTCTATCTGCTAAGTACTCTCTGCTGCATACCTAAGCACACAGACCTATGCCAGACAAACCTCTTGGGGATTCCTGAGGAAGCAGGCCAGTCTTCATGGGGAACGTCGTGTTTGTCTTTGAAAGAAGGGCATGTAAGAGGCTGGAAGAGCAGTGGCCAGAGTGTAAACCATATACCCAGTGTTCTTTAGAACGATTTTCAGAACTTCATACAGGTTGGCTAATAGGACTAAAAATAGAAGTGTGATGTTGATTAAAAATTCTCTCCTCCCTTAAGTCAGTAAAGCAGAAAAACATGGTGGTTACAATGGTAGGGCCTTTGGAACCCATGCTGACTCTTGATCATGAAGACAGCAGTCCCACAGTAAATATGGTCAAGAACAGGAGAGCCTGTGCCTGTGCAGGCTCTGCAGCCACAGCAGTTTCAGTTCCCAGTGTTGGTCAGATGTGGAAATAGATGGCAGATCACTCTTCAGGAGATCATTTTTCTGGCCACAGAATCTCCAGAACCACTGGGAAATGGGATTAGAACAGATAGTGTGGTGAAGTTGTGTTTAATATCATGCAAACCTGCAGTGTGCTTTATTGACCCAATTGAAGATGAACAGAGTAAGAGCTGCCCTTTTTCAAGTGGTGGTTGTCATCAGGTATCTGGAGAAAGACCCAAGGCAGTGCACAACATCCACAGGAGGACAAGGGCAGAGCATAAAATTTATAACTAGTGTTGCTTCTGCTCAGCAGGTCTTGAACAGTGACAGTCTCTCAGGAGGAAGAGCTGTTAGAACAGTAAACTCCTTTAAAGGAGGGACTGAGCAGGGCCCTGCTCTAGTCACACTCTGCCACACTCATTGTGACTTGAAGATACTTTTGATCCCAAGAGTGACAGTGGAGTGGAAAGTCAGAAACAGTTGTAAGCGCCTTAGATTGTGATAGAAGAAAGACACTTGAGAGATGACATACATGCAGTCACAGCTAAGTCATAAAGCTGAAAGGAAGAGTCTTCTCTGCTTGTTGGGAAGGGCTAGCCTGAGATACCCATGACAAGGCATGTGTGCTCCGTGGAGTTGTGTCTGTCCTCCAGGGGCATGGGAAAGTAACCTTTTCTTTGTTTTTAGTGGTCTTTGTTTGCTGCTTTGGGTGTATGTACTGAGCAGGGATCTATCTGGTCAGGTCACTTAAACAAAGGGGAGGACAGTATTTGGAAGCAGGCTCTGACGTAGGTTAATCATAATTCAGGTAAACTTCTCAGCTGTAGCAGGGGAACTTGGACTTGTGGAGCCTCCAGTGAGACATAGCTGGGTTGACCTGGAATAGGAAAGGTGCAGGCCAACTCTTCAGACTCTGATAGCTAAGTCAGTCGTGTTTGTCTTGATGTCCCATCCATGGACTTAGTTTTGGGGGTGACATGGTTCAGTGTTCTTAATATGGCTGCACTATATTAAAGCCTGTGGCTGATTTCCTGGAGATTTTAATGTCTTCTTGATTGGGTTAAAGATTTCACCCATCTCTGTGAAGTCTTACTTTAGGAACTTACTAGTTTGCTTGCCCTCAGAATTGTTTCACGTTGAGATGTAATTACTATGAGTTATTTTTTTAACCCATGCTTCATTTCAAGCTCCTTGTGTTTATATTTTCGTGAATATTTTTTGCCTTGATTGGTATTTTTGGAATTAGTGTATTTAATGAGTACTTTATCCCTGATACTATACTATTCCTATACTTTTCATGAGGCCCCCTATTTACATGTTCCCCTTGGCCTTTCAACTTGGGTCAGTGACTCTGTAGCAATTGGAGCATCCAGTCATCTTTGGAGCTGTCAAAGTCCCAGCAGTTTCCCATTCTTGTGAAAAGGTGTTCTCCAGGCTGTTATGGGTACCTCCTCTTCCCTCCACCCCCATCCATGGACTTTGGACAGTCTCTCAGTCCTCTGGGTGGATGCTGCATGGTTGTCTGGTGCCTCTGCTGATGTACTCATGTAACTGAGGGATGCTTTGCCACTGTTGTACCCAGCACTCTGGAACCAAGGCACATGAGAATAGAGAAAAGTCCTAATGTCTTCTGAGTCCTTGTCCCAGAACAGTGTTCTCAACTCCTTTGGGGTAGTCAAACAGCCCTTTCACAGGGGTCGCCTAAGACCATCGGAAAACACATGACTGTTCACAACAGTAGCAAGATTATAGTTATGAAGTACCAATGAAAATAATTTTATGGTTAGGGGTCACCACAGCATGAGTAACTGTATTAAAGGGGCACAGCATTTGGAAGGTTGAGAGCCACTGCCTTAAAAGAAGAAAAAAAAAAAAAAAAAAAAAAGCAAACAAACCTGTGTCAAGTCTTCAGTTTTCAGCCAAAGCATTGCCAGACTTCTGTTGGGAATGAACTGATTATGCATAGTGGTTATAGTGGGTAGGTTGGGGTACTGCCTCCTAAGTGGATAAGGAGTCTAGCTGGGCTCCACAGAACTGTGGTTGATCTCGGTGCCTTGCTGTTCACAGGGAAGGTGAAAGTTCTCCTGAAAGAGCTTTGGCTCTGTGTGAACACTGCTCACAGGCTGTCTGGGGAGAACAGCAGGCGCATCCCAGGTGAGTGTTACCACAGAGGCTCCTTACATATGAACTTGACAACATTGGCCACAGTCTGCATTGTAGGCTCCAGTGTGCAGCCGAGAGTGGGAATTGAAATGTATGAAGCAGTATGACTCTAATCCCAGCAAATTCAGTTGACTTTTGGTAGCAGCTCTCAGAAGAGTGCTGGGAGGGGAAGCTAAGGCATGTTTGGCCTTGTGTATGGAAGAGCTCCTGTACTACAGGAGACCCACTGAGGGTCTCATCCATGGTAGATCTCCTTTGTTTCCAGTTGGCTCAGTGAAGTTTTTTTAATCTCATTCCTTTTGCATTTAGTTACTGAAATTCTTTCATAGAAAGACTGCCCCTCTCCATTATGCCTCTCTGGTCTGTTTCACATCAGGGTAGCTCAACTGCTTCCCAGTGCACTGCAGGCCCATGCTCCCCTCTCCTCTTCCCAGTGCACTGCAGGCCCATGCTCCCCTCTCCTCTTCCCAGTGCATTGCAGTCCCATGCTCCCCTCTCCTCTTCCCAGTGCACTGCAGTCCCATGCTCCCCTCTCCTCTTTCCAGTGCACTGCAGGCCCATGCTTCCCTCTCCTCTTCCCAGTGCACTGCAGGCCCATGCTTCCCTCTCCTCTTCCCAGTGCACTGCAGGCCCATGCTTCCCTCTCCTCTTCCCAGTGCACTGCAGGCCCATGCTTCCCTCTCCTCTTCCCAGTGCACTGCAGGCCCATGCTTCCCTCTCCTCTTCCCAGTGCACTGCAGGCCCATGCTCCCATCTCCTCTTCCCAGCACACTGCAGGCCCATGCTCCCCTCTCCTCTTCCCAGTGCATTGCAGGCCCATGCTGCTGCGGACTCTTTTCTGTTTCTTATGTCAGTGTCTCTCTGCTCCTTCCCAGTGTGTCGCAATCTCGTACTTACTGGAAGTTGCTCCGGAGCGGCTCTTCTATGCCTCAGACACACTTGTCCTGCTTAGATCACTTTTCTGATTGAGTCTCACCTTGAGTTTCTGTACCACTGACATAATCCCACTTTCCTGAAGAGGTCTGGCTCTTATGTGAAACAATTTTACATCTTAAATACAACAAAGGGTGATTGCAACGATGCCATGGGATCCTTATTTCTTGACTAAATAATCATTATCAACTGAAGTTCATGAAACTCAAAACCCCCTCCCCCCGCAAAATGGTATACTTGCCTCTTTGTCACACCATGCTTAGCAGTATTTGAGGGAGCAGAGAAATAGAACTGTGCCTGCAAGCTGAGGCAGACAGTTTTATCTGCCAACCAATGTCAAAGTTATCCATAAATGCTCTGTACAAGAGATCATCGTTGAAGGGAAAGGGTCTTCCAGTGTGCTGAGGCAGTAAGGCCACTGTGTTGGCTGCTGTGCTTCAAGCTGGGTTGTGCCTCGATGGACCACTCTCCATCCACTCCCCTCTCCCAGTCTATGAGATATCAGTAGAAGTTGACTGGTGACATTTTTAAAGCTGTCTACTTATTTCAGCTTTCTGCTAGCAGTTTGACCTGCCACCAGGATGGAATTTGTAAGTTTTCTTGGCATTAAATGTGTGTTGCTTGCTTCTCTCCTGCTCAGAAAAACCTGTCAAAGGAGACAGTGTGTCCAGAGCCTCTGGGGAAGATGAGTTGCTCCCAGTGCCAGGCAGTCCTGCCAGGGCGGCTGATATGCGTTCTTTCTTCACCAAGTTGTCTATGGAGATGGAAGGTGACTTCACTTCCTCTGACAGCGCAGAAGACGAGCAGCCCAGTGGAGTAAGCCCTGGCATGGAGCTTGCTTGTCACGAGGAAAGTCATCCCGAAGTCTCAGTGCAGAGGCCTGGCGATGGCAAAGGGACCAGCATTTATGACCATGAACACTTCTTTGATGATGATCTTCAAGCTGCAATTGACTTCTTCAAACTTCCCCCTCCTCTTCTGTCTCCAGTGCCCTCACCTCCTCCAACCACATCACCACACCCGGGCTCTTTATCGTCCTCCCTAGCACCTGTGAGTTGGCTTTCTGAATTTTACTTCCACATGGCTGTGTTTGTCCCATGTCCAAGGTGTTTCAAAGGTATTAGTGTAGTTAGGTAAAATGTGTCATTTTAGCTAGTTTTACTGTGAAGTAACATAAGAAAATAGAAAGCTGTGCCAGGGCCCTTTGCATCAACAAATGTAGTGTGATTTTCTTCAATGTGTGTTAAATGGTTACATTTTATTCATCTCTAATTGTGCTTTTTATGTAAGAAGATATTTTTGCTAGTGCATAGTACATGATAGGCATGGAGGGAATGAAGCATATTCTTACAGACCCGGGCTGTTTCCGGAGACAGTGAAATCTCCATGTCTAATGTTCCTGACCCTTGGCCCAGCAGAGTCTCAACTTTGGGCACATCTTCAAATGCTCACATATTAAGGAGTATTGCTCCATTAAGGAGTCCTGGCATTCACTTCTGTTTCAGATTCCGAGCTAGGAACTGTGGGCTCAGAGGTGGTGGGGGATACAGTGTTGGACTGTCCTGTGAATGTAGGACCAGGCATGGAACACACAGCCCCTCTGCTGAGTAGAGTTCTTCAGAGCTGTGGGGCACGTTCTTCCTCAGGGGACGGAGGCTCTGTCTTGGAGAGGCTGGCAGGGAGGCTGCACATGTGTTTGTGACTTGAGAAGCTGCTGTACAGTGATGTGTGACCCAGGGCAAACATGGCTTTGGGAAACTTGAGGTGGACCATTTTTTGAAGGGTCTTGCAAGTCTTCCTAAAACACTCATGTATTATTATGGGAATGGGAAATCCTTGACTCAAAAAGCAAAGGTTGTGACAGGTTTTCATATGAAAGTTTCTGTTTAGTCACAGTATGAATAGGAAAGGATTGACAGTTGAGAAGCAGGAGGAATGTTGGTCAGGACTAGTTAGTTCTTACTGTCCGTATACAGGTTGAGGCACTGGGGCCACAGGCTAGTCTAGTGTAAAAAATGGCTTGAGGAGTGGCATTTGATAGCATTTTCACTATGGTCTTTAGGGGAGATGGAGGCAAAATAGTTACAAAACAGCTAGTTTAAAACATGTTACAGAGGCTCCCCTGGGAATTCTACAGATACCCATTGATTTACCTACTGATTTCTCACCCACTCCCTGTCTCATCTAAAATTAAATCACGATACCTAGATGGAGATGGGCAGGACGAAGACTCTTAGAACCAGTGGCTGTGTACAGCAGAGCCATGTACCTGTGGCCACACTCAGTGAACATATATAGAGAAGGTCCAAACCCTGGGCAGCCACCAGCAACTCAGTGAAAATAGAGGCAGAGAAGAAAGACAGGTGGAGGGAATGTGAGGGAAAGCCAGGAGAGGTATCACCTAGACTCAGGCATTGGTGAGGGGGGATTTTACACTAGGTTATTGACTTCACCCTCCACTTATGTGCAGAGTTTGATGACATAAGAGAGAAAGAGTTAACCTAGATGGGAGCCATTAGTTGGGATGTAAGAGGGTTTTGGGAACAGAGGTGACTACTAGCTGGAGAACATGGTGAAAGGAGAAGGGGAGAGCTATGTGGCAGGGTCTGTGCTGTCCCAGCCAAGTGACAAGGAGAGGAAACAGGGAGGTGGAGCAAGGGGCCAGAGAACCTCAGTGTAGATAGAGCCTCATCTCTGACAGAAGGCAAAACTAGGAATGTCAAGAGCTGAACCCACAAACCCAGCCTGGATGCTGTGTAGACCGGGACTCAAGAGAGCATTGGTTACAGGGAAGCAGGAAGAGTGGGTCCCAGCTTCCTTAAGGGTTGGGTAGAGTACGCCACACCAGAGCCTGGTCAACCCTTGACAGGTATGATAGTGAGAATGTCTTTGAAAGCACTGGCTCTTGTGCAAGTGTTCAGTAACTCTGATAAGTTAGGTGTGCTGAGCATCTGTCTGACTGTGTGCTTTGTGTTACTTGAAGGAATCCTACTTCGCAGAAGGAGAGTTCACAGATTCCAGCGACAGTGACTCTACCCCACTTAGAAACTCTGCGGAATTAGCTTCAGAAAATTACACAGCCAGTTATCGGAATTACTGTGACTTGCTGGAAAAACTTAGAAGGAGTGATATTTGCATGGAAAAGCCCAGGTCACAGGGAGTTGCCCAAGCTGTCAACAGGCTGGCACCTGTTGGATTTGATAGCCGAAGAGTAACATTGGGAGAAACCCCGGCCACATCTTACCTAGCTCGGGGAAAGCACTGGACAGCATCGCCTGAAGCTGTGAGGGATAGGGGAGATGTTGTAGAAAGGGCAGAAGGAAAGGTAGCGGCCCGGGAGACAGATAAATCTGTGCAAAGAGTCAGGAAAGGGCTGCTGAAGCATAACAGGAGACCATGGGGGGAGAGAGCATCCAGAAGCCCAGCCCGGAAGAAGGAAGCCAGAGCTGGAGAGTCAGAGGCTTGCTCTTCTCCTTTTGGCAAGAGGACATTCAGTGAACTCATGGAATCTGAAGGGAAAACCCTATCATCAAAAGTGCTGTGCTCACCCCAGCCAGACTTTACTAAGTGGAGACTTACTGGTGAATTTGCTCCCAAGTCACACCGTGTGATGCATTCTGGCCATTTTCAAGGAAAGGAGAACGATGCGCAGGAGTCTACTCTGGGATCAGGCGCAGCAGGGCGTGACCATTCAGCCAGTCTTCCTTCCCCGTCTACCTCTGTGCAAGAGCCTCTCTGCAGTAACCCCAAGGCTTCTCGGCTAGGGTTTTTCAATGCAGGGGCTCCAGCAGACGTAACCTGTACAAACCTGCATCGTTCAGAACAAAAGTCCCCAACTAGAACTTTCAACCCATTTCTTCAGTGGTCTGAGCCAGCAGCACGTTTTCCAAAAGAAAATGACCCAGAAAACAGCTCATCTGCTTTGAGTGCCAAGTCAAAATTAGGAGCATCTACATTTAGCGATTGGAAGAGCAGAGACCCGGAACCTTTAAACGTTTTTAAAAGTACAGTGCAGGCACACCCGCTCCCCCAGTCAGTATTTCAGAAGCCAGCCACAAGTGGGCAGTGTGGAGGCCGAGGTCCAGGCACTAAGCTCACTCTGCCTAAGTCAGACTGGACTTCATTAGCGCCCTCTCAGGCTGGCTTCACCAGGAGGAGCCCTGGTTCTGCTGACAATACCTCTTGGCACCGTAGCCATATACTGAGGAGAGGTGGTGAGGGCAGTCCCAGAGCTACCTCAGAACACCAGCAAAAGACCAGGCTTCAGCTAGAGAAGGCAGCACCGGCCTCACAGGGCAGCAGATTGACAGCTGTGCAGGGACCTTCTGGAGAAAGTACCATCCCTCTGGAACTCAACACAGCTGCTGCTTTGCTGCCAAACCAAGTGTCAGTCATAACAAAGCAGGCAAGACCCGAGAGGATGCAGAGTACCAGCCTGGAGCAATGGCAGCCACGTGGGAGCACATTGAGTCCTTCTGCAGACAGTAGTGAGGAGTCAGATGCCACGCCATCGGTATCAGAGTATACTGGAGATGGGGATCCCACAGCACAGGGCAGTGAGGGGGTAGCTGATAAGGAAAGCCCTTCTCCACAAGTTTCTGTGTCTTGGGGAAAATCAAGTGATTCTCCAAGTGGCTCTGTGCCAGCAGAGAATTTTGGTTCTACAGATAAGTTACCCTTTTCCCCTGGTGACCACCTCATCCAGAACCAGCGTGTCATGAATGAACTCTTGCAGCAGAGACCCAGGAGGTCTCCCCATACCACACAGTCAGGTGCCCAGAGGCTGGAGCCTGGGAAGCTACTTCCCACTGAGGTGCCATCCAGAGACTGTCCTACTGGACAGGTGCCCAGTGGAGCTCATCCCCAGGCAAACGCTGAGGCCCCTGTAGCTGCAAGAGATTCTCGTAGCATTCCACAGAATGCCAGCACACCTCCCACAGTGCCCACCAGAGCACTTCTCAGAACTCCTGTCCCCACCGGCCCTATCTGTCCTTCAGTTCTTCACAGTGCAGGTGGGAAGACACGGAGTACCTCCCAAAGTAGTCTTTCTGGGGCTTCCTACTGCTACACAGGTATCAGAGAGCAGAGAGAGGATACTGAGATGGAGGATGAGGCCTTTAGCTGCAGTGAGGGAGAGCATGAGGCTGAAGCTGTAGTGGGGCTCAGACAGCAGGAGGCTGAAGCTACGATGGGGCACAGACAGCAGGATGCAGCAGCGGGAGACTCATGGAGACACTTGGGAGGCTTGGAGGCTGGGGTGGCTGGGGTCAGGCGTGCCTTGGATGTAGGCGATCTGACCTCAGCACTTCAAGGATGCAATTTAAGCACTTTTCTTTACATAGACAAGCTCTCCACATCAGAGGTGGTTATGTTTCTTGAAAGTTGTCAGTTAAGAGAGTATAGTTCCAGGGCCTCTGTTTCAGAATGTTCTAGCACAGAAATGAACAAAGAGTTCAAGCAAAGTGAAATCTTCAGAAAGAACCATGGGAAAAGGTTCCATGAAGAAGAAACATTCAGAGCCTCGGAAGAGTGGTTCGAGTCAGAGGGAGATGATTCCTGTGTCAGGAATTCAAACCAGCATGTTTGCAGTCCTCTGGAAATGTCATCTGATATTCTCACCAAAACCAGGGATGAACTGGATACAAACCATGGGGACTCCAGTGAGAAGGATGTTGAGCATGTCTTGTTCTTAAAGACGCATCACAGCCAGGCAGCTGAAGAGCTGATAGAAGAAAACCCGCCTGAGGAAGCATCCAACTCCATGTCCCACATTGTAGAATTGCCCCAACCAGCCGCTGTGGATGTTGTAGGCAGCTCCCCACTGAGTGGCAGGTTTGACCCTGAGCGTATTCAGAGCAGATCTGAGGATGAGACCAATTATGGGGGGTACCCCAGCACTAGGGAGGAGGACCTGGCAGAACCTGCGGAACTTTTGGCCCTGAGCTCTGACTCGACAGCTCCGCCAAGGATAGAGCCGAGCTCTGCCTGTGTGACAGAGACAGCATTTCGCTATCAGATCTCTGCAGTGACCTCAGAAGTCATAAGTGTGCTGATAAATAAGGACCAAGACGTCGTGATTGAAAAGGGGGATAACTGGACTATCATCAGTGGTGTCGCCATCTCTCCTGGCATGGAACAAGTAGTTCTTTGTGACACTTTTGATGCTTTCGCTTCGCAGGATCTGGGAGGCCTAGACAATGGCTCTATGGAGAAATCCCCTGAAGCTAGTCCTGCTGGCCCTCTACCTCAAGAGCCTCTGTGTGGTGCCCAGGAGGATATTTCCAGCAGTGGTCAGAGTGCCAACTTCGATAAGAGCCGTCTTCGGAACAGACCTGTGAAGCCTAGCATCTGGATTCGCTCTCAGATGTATGATCCAACACTCGAGACGGAGAAAGTTGCATCCGATCACACGTATTATAACTGGAAATTAGAACCACTTGGTAAGAATAAGACTCGATCAAAGATTTCCAACAAAGATCAGTCAAGCAAACTAGCAAAGACTCCAGGACTCAACAGAGGGGAAGTGCATCTGGATGAAGTCCCTCAGCCAGTACCGGGGAAAAGAACAAATACAAAAATGCCAAGCAGCCAAGCTCAGTCCACCATGGCTGGTGTAGGTGTTTCCACCCCTCCCAACTGTTCCCCTGATACTCTGAGCAAGATCCGGCAAGAAGTGGGGCCTCCACTGCCTCCTTTGCTCCCCCCACTGATAGCCACACCTCCAAGGACATCACGACCACTGTCCCCTCTCATATCAAGTTCTAGTCCGTCCTCACTGGCCTCACCTGCCGGCCGCATCTCCCCTCTGCGTGACATTCCAGGGCCTCCTGTGTTGTCTCCGTGGCCGGAGGAACTCCAGCAGGCCTCCCCACTGGATCCCTCTCCATCCCCGTCTA